GTGTTCTTATCTCGTCCATTTCAGTGTGGCGGTGTTCTTATCTCGTCCATTTCAGTGTGGTAGTGTTCTTATCTCGTGCAGTTCAGTTCAGTCTGGCAATGATCTTATGTTGTGGAATTTCTTTTTTTGTTGTTGTTGTTTTCAGGTCGATATGAGATTACAGAAATACCTCTACCGTCTTCAGTTATCGAGCAAATCAATAAAAATAACATGCAAGCGACACTCAACCCGGGTCAAGTGACTCCTACAGTTGTTCCTACATCAGCAACAAAAAACGTACAGCTACCTCAGGCTCTAGGGCCAGGTGAATTCTTTTAAATCTATACAAGTAGCTTTGATTAAACCTTTTTACAAACCACCATTTCCACTCAGTAAGACTAAAACCAACAACGAATTGCTTTTATTTGAACGAGTCAGTTCTCAGAGAGAAATTTGAATTTTTTAGACCTTGGTTGTTATGGTGATCATCCTTGTAATATTGTTGATACTCTTGCCTAATCGAATTGGAGCTCAAGTTTTCGCTTATTGATAACCTGCACTTTGATGTTAAGCCATTAAAAAGATAATATCAATATCATTGTCCATAATACTCATTTTAATCGTATAATTCTTAATCAGCTTCTTCACAGCCATGCTCGCCACCTCCTACATGTCCATGTCCATGTCCGCAACCATCTTCAAGTGGTAATCCTCTGTATCTACGACCACTCCCCAAGATACATAAGCAAACCAACTCTCACTGTCCTTCTCTCTGCATTTGTCTATGCATCGGTGGTAGTTTTACGCCCAATCCTCCTGCGCCCATCCAGCCTCTTAGTAACGCAAGTGGCCCCAACCCTGTGGTCGCCAGTCCTCTGATTAGCCAAATAGCAACATTACCGTCCAGTGCAACCTCAGCTTCCAAGTCAACTCCAACGATCTCAGCGACGTCAAGTGCTAACTCTGTGAACTGCCCAGGGTTTGTAGGTAGCCATACATTATAGACCACGGGTCGAGTAGAATTGGTTTTGTTGTTGAGTTTGATTTTGCTAACGGCATTGTATTTTTTTGTATCTGTTGGTTCTCAGGTTGCTCCTTTTCTGAAAGTCCCGTGATCTCGTTTTCTAGGACAAGTAAGAATGTTTATGTTGACTGAAATATGCCAAATATTAATGCTTTATGACACGCTCTAATAATTAAGTATATTTCATATATGACATATATGGATAGCGATAGAAGTGTTGTCGCACAGAGACTGTAATATTTATGAGTTTTGATAGGATTGCAAGCATGTCTACTGGTACTTAAGGGCATGAATTATTTAATATATTTTTTTAATTCTCCATTCCCAGTAACTCTGCACGCATATGGGTATAATAAATTGATAGAAAATGTCGCCTAGCGTGCAAATGCATCCTAGTAACCCCCAAAAATATATACACAGCTTAAACAGCTTTCGTTTTGCAGTTCAAACGGGATCCAGTGCCACACCTGGTCCAAGTCTTATACCACCAATGCTCCCTGTTGCTCAAGGTAAGAAACACATACTGTGTTAGGATATAATAGGACTTATTACTGATACTTATTAATACATTTTTTTAATTCTTCATTCCCAGTAACCCTGCACGCATATGGGTATAATAAATTGATAGAACATGTTGCCTAGCGTGAACATGCATCTTAGTAACCCCCAAAAATATATACACAACTTAAACAACTTTTGTTTTGCAGTTCAAACGGGATCCAGTGCCAAGCCCGGTCCAACTCTTATACCACCAATGCTCCCTGTCGATCAAGGTAAGAAACACATACCGTGTTAGGCCTAGGATATAATAGGCCTTATTCCTGATAGCCGCCATCATGGTTTTCCTTTTATAATTAAAGTAACCTCATCATTTCTAAGATGGGCGAAAAACTTAGAATTAGAAGATTTGTCTTGGCATAATAATGGAATTTGTTAACGTTTTGTCTACTTAATGACAAGTACTAAGCAATAATGCATTTGCAAATTGCTTTTTGATGCTTTAGGAAGACCCAAGCCAGAGTAAGCTTTGCAAAAACTCAGTTATGGTTGTTCATTATCAGACAACGTGATTTTGGCACAAATACTGGAATATTGGGTTATTGCCTTTTTTGCTGTGTGTGCTTCAAAGCAACTATTGCAAATGGGAGGCCTTATGCAGTCGCAGATTTTATTTATAAGTTATTTTTGACTGCGTATCTACACAAATCATTTAAAGGCTTGTCGTTGTCTTGATCATATCATACGTTCTGTGAATCCCTGTTCAAAACACACATACACTGTATTTCTTACGTTAGGTTCTGCGTAAAATACGTACCTATATTTTTGTACTCTGATTCTACATCCCTAACACCGGAACTGCAGCGCTCTTTTTATATTTAAGGTCCGTAAGGTTCTTTAAGGGTCGTTCCAAGTAAGCCAGTTTTGAGTATAGAGCTTATGTTAATGTTAAGAGAAATTTAACATTTATTTAACTGACTTACTACAAAGCATTTCCATTCATTGCCAAGACGGTGGGTGGATCAATAATTACAGTCAATCAATCACTCAGTTAACCAAATATCTTATTCACCTAACGCGAGGGCCGTATTGGGAGAATATCGGCCCGAGGTCCTGACTGAGAACGGACCGAACGCAGGGAGGTCCGTACAAGAAAGACCAAGCGCCGATATTCTCTCAGTGCGGGTCCGAGTAAGAGATTTATTACCAGACTGAAAATGTTTAGAACAAAAATGCCACGATCACGGACTGGAAAAACAACGCAAACTTCACGCGCACAATATTGACTGGGAGCCGACTAGGCGTATAGTCACTTCTGATGTTAAACAAAACAGAAACGAAAGTAAAGGAATATTTAATTTGAAAGAAAGCTGTTTTAGAAACGCAAGCCATAAAACTAATAGAAAATCTTCAAGAGTGAACGTGCGGGATCACTTGGAACAATGCCCGGTCCAATGTATGTAGCATTCTTATTGGTTGATTTTAATATTGGCCCTCTGAACTAGCTTAGTCGTGTCCAATTATTTCTAAGTTCCAGATAGTTGATGTCGGGTCAAGAGATTCATAATTTCCGAGCTTATCGCGTGCAGCATTAAACAACCAGGACGAGATGCTGTCAGTCATAGGGTTACCTCCCACACTAACTTTGTCAACCTCCATTTATACACCAGGGAGGAGTGACAATTTCCCTGCTTTCTACTGCTAACCATTTGTTTTTATGTACTAACATATTCATTTTAATTGCAGGATCGAAGCAAACGTAATAATGATGACATCATTTCTTATCAATCTGCATTCCCCAGCAACCGAAAGAGCGCAATACGTTTAGCTTACATCAGAAGAAATGAATCCGGCAACGAAAATTTTTAATAAAACAAATTTTAAAATTGTACTGTAAAAATATGTTGTATCGGGCGGAAAAAATCAGAAGATCAAGGTAAGAGAGTGAATCCCCCATATAGGCCTTATACCCAAGGTCATCATACTTAAGCTATTTTTAGACATGGTACCCAGTTCTTCCGCGGGATTACCTTTGATGCAAGCCTTTACGGAGGATTCACTCTCTTACTGATCTTCTCCTGCTGCAACTGAATGCTAAACTGCTTTTCATGTAGCGAGTGTTTATAAGATAAGTTAAAGAGGCCTTTTATATAATTTTTTTTGCACGGAGATCCTTCATTAAACAAGTAACCCTGTTGTTGCGTATTATTCCCTCAACTACAGTTGCAAAGCATTAAACGAGATTTTGATTTCAATGCTACAACATGAAAACATGTAAAATAGTTTAAATAAAATCAAACCCTATGACAACTGTAAAAGTAATTCTTCATTCCAAGCTGAAGCATTAACAACAACAAAAAGTTATTGTACTCAGACGACAAATATATAAGTAAAAGCTTTTTAGGCGTCCGTGGAGAACGTTACAGCATTTTCCATTCTTAGAGAGCATGTTGCCGTTAGTGTTTGATAAAAGTTCACTTCATACATGTAGATAATGAGATTTTCTCACCGAAAAACGATTGGGTATAAATGATAGATAAAATCCACTGACCAGTGGGAAACGCGAATCATGAAAGCTCACAGGTGAAAAACGACGTTTACCCAATCACAAATGAAAACGACAAAAAAAAAGTCGCATCGAGAAGTAGTCTAATATTTGCATCTTTGGAAAGTTGGATTGACTCGTTTATTGAAGAACTAGACAACAACAACTCATTTAAGATGACAAAACATGATATGTTGTCTTAAGGTCCGGTAATACGGACAACATTTTTCTTTCAACTTGTCTCGCAACATTGTTGAATTGTAAGTTGAAACCCTTTGTTGCACGTATTACCAAGTCTCCTCTAGAGACTGAGTAAAATATGACCTAAAAATGGGTCACCCGTTAGCCCTGGGGCACTTCCCCCAACAGACAGATAGGCTAGCACGTGTGTAACGGGGCAAACTGGTTGTTCTCTATATATGAGCAACTCTGTTGGTTTTGAGGGGTCACTGTACTTAAAATGTTTTAATACTAATATCATGGCCACAGTAAAAACTTCGCTTTCTTTTAGAAAGAACAGTTGGTCGATCCCAATTAAGTTTGACGTTGGTTGACCAGGTCGAGTAGTATATCCCACCTACTCTAAGGCAGCAAAAAAATGCCTGGGTATGCTTTACTTGTGCTAATGTTTGGTTGTAATACATAGAGGATATTGGTCAAGAGCTGCTATAAGACGCTCTAATATAGGCAGGGTTATTGAGGAATTGGTATCCTGAGATGAAAATAACTTACCATATCCCCTCAAAGCTAGTTTCACTATGTCAGATTATGTGGGATCAGGCCAGCCAGCTAAACGACGCGGATAGCCTAAGGCAGAAATGTAAGTCATGACCGCGGACCCTGCATATTTCTGCTCTGCCAAGTAATCAATACATAATGCTAATGTGTTTCTTGAAAAAGGGAAAATAGAACTTGTAGGTTGTAATCTCTCGTTTCTAAAATGCTATAAAATCTCCCAAGGACGCCTGTAAGTATTTAATGAAGCTAGCTTTAAGTAATCGTTTTGGCGTGTCGCCCAATTCTCTGGTTACAAATGCTCGGGGAGGGTGGTCGGGACCTGATCCATCCCGTGTGAGAGCCCTTGGAATTTGTCCACCTGCAACCGAAACAAACTATCAGCCAGGCCATTCTTAACGCCGGGTATGTGCTTAGCCCTGAAGAGAATGTTATTCTGTGAGCTTATTATATGGCTGTGTCTCACAAGGATTGGGAACTACCGAATTCACGAAATTGATAGGTTGAAATCAATTTTGATCGAGGCCTAGATTTTCCCATCTAGACCGGCATCTAGGGGCGGTCACATTTTAAGGTGAAGAAGTTGCAAACTAAAATACAAAACTATTGACGATTTCTTCTAAAAATACTTATTTACGGTATGAAAGTACCGAAAAACCTGATGAGAGAAAACGTAAAGGAGACGAGCAAACTTTGGTAAATTTAAGTTCAGCTCATCGCCATTAGCAAGCAAAATGTCAGCTAGTACAAACCAGTTACATTACACGAATTAAATCAGTATTGTTTGCCATATAATAAACATCTTATTAACCGAGCTTAGTCGGTCTGTTAGGGAGAATCTTGACCTCGTTTGTGTGTACAGACCTCACTGGCTTCAGCCTGTACTAACGGACCTCGGTCAAGATTTTCCCGTACAGACCTCCTGCTCGATTAATAAGAGCTAAATATTAACACCAGCTGTCTTATGGGGGATAGCAAGCAAGGATCCAGTCATGTTTGCTTATTAATAACATGCACCACACTTTTGTTGTCGGTCATGAACAACACCCGCGTGTTCTTAAGTGTCCGACACCACAAGCTTAACCCAACCACACTGGGTAAAACTCAACGAAAGAAACATTGCGCTTGATATTAGTCTCCTAGCCATTCACTGTACGCCCAGTGGTCTCCAAACACTACGCCAAAGCCTTTTGATTTGGCTGCATCTGTGATTGGCCCTTTTTAATCTGCTGATAAATTGATGCGTCTTATCATTCTCGGAAAACGGGCAAAAGGTAAGCATTTGTTTACGTTTTTCGCGTCGATTTTTATGAACATTTAATTGAAATTGTCCTCCAAAAATACGGGTAAAAATATTTTTACTAACAAAAAAATGTTTATTTTGTGCAATGAAATGAAAACGCAATTCGCAGAAATAAATTCGTGAGCGGTCAGTCTATTGCAAAATTTTGACCGCTCAGGGAACCAATCAAAAATCTCCTTTTTCAGTTCATCTCAGGCCCGTTCAGCCATATAATAAATGTATTAACTAACTGCAGACAGTACTGTTTCGGCCAGCTAGACCTCATTAGGGCAGTGCTGACCCTATGATGGAGCAGAAGCCATATGGTCACCCCAAACGATCCCACACTTGTGGTATCGTCTAAGCCATGCCAGAGTGCTCAAACTAGTAAACTAGTGAGCATGCGCAATGCTAATAGCAATGACTTTTGATGCTACTAATAAATGTATTATATCTATAAATGAATCTCTGGTTTGCCTGAAATCATCTCTAAAAGTTGTAGCTATTCCGCGGCTTTTTTCCTCTTTTTATTAAGAGGCTTCAAACTGGGCCTCTTTAGATCTCACTGATGTAAGAAATTAGCGACCTGAACGAGCGGGCTCACTTGCATGCGGTTCCAGCCGGATCACTTGGATGCGGTTCGACTTCGCTTGCGTTATGTTAGGTGATTTTAAAAAGGGCAGAAGTAGGTTAGTGTTCTAAATGGCTGCTTGTCAGTCAGCCTTATGATGTATAAGTCTTCCCGTTGGGTGGTCCTGTTGAACTCGTCATTTGCATTTGCACTGACATGTGTAATATTATAGATAAAGACGAGAATAAAAAACACACAGCGTGACCAATTGACTACTCAGTGACATTTCTTGTTTTATTTTTCACAGTTACTTTTTTATAGTTATTACTGGCGTTATTTATGAAACTATCTCAGGACTAAGACTGCGTGGAAAAGGTAGCTGTTACAGTATCCCTTTTAGCAGACAAATTTTAACAGTAGCGATTTTTTTCATTTTTCTGTGTTGTTTTCCTCTAAATATGACATCATTTTTGAGGAATTAGGTGAATCCTGTCTTTGACATTGCTGGAGCATTTTGTTGGAGAAACAGTTTTTTTGTTCAAGTTGATAATAATTTGAGAGAAAACCAACTCTGTTGATTTTAGACTGTGTATTTTCAATATTAGCTTTTTTCATTTAAAAAGTAAATAGACAAAGAGTGCCGTATTTGCTCAGTGACCATGATGTTTAGTGGACATGACTTCTGCTCTGTGATGAAAACAAAACAAAACCTGAGATCATTCATATATTTACAATGAAAATCTCATAGGATATTTACGGCTCTCAATAAGACATTGAATCGTTACATGTCTTGCCCAGCTAAACTTGAAAGACTTTTTCCTAGATGGATTGAAAGAACTTAGATGTTGAAGAGAACAACCTTAAGTGCTAAAATCCGTTCCAAGCGACTTGGTTTTAGTTTGTAAATAAGTGCAGGTGGCTCCTCTGTTCAAAGCCGTTATTCGTTCTTTTGATGTTCACAAGCGAGAAAGAACGATTAGAGTGCTTAATTATGAATGAACTATGTCATTGTTTACGGACACAGATGAGTCAAGGGTTTAATACTTCGCGTTAAGCACTTCATCGTTGTAGAAATGGGAAAAATGGCGATGGACAGGGCCAGTTTAACTTGGTTGTGTTTTGTGGTACTTACCCTCACCTCATGTCATCTAGCTAATGTCGCCGGTAGGTTACCAGTAGTAAATTACATAAACATAACTGAGTAGATAAACTTTTCGATAGCTATTTCAAATCTGTGAGAAGGTAAGAGCCGTCTGAATATCTTTTAATACCAAACGAAGTTAATGATTACCCATAAGCTAAATAAGAAATAAATAATCATCAACACTTGGCATGCACGGAGGAGATCGTCTAAACTAAAATTAGCGAACTAGCAAAGCCAGTGAAGCATCAGTCTTGTTAGAGTTTTTGTTCCAACTGGTGGTAAAAAGCTGGTTAACTACTCAGCTTGTCATGAAGTAGAAAGGCAGTTTACATTGTAAGCTAACTTATCAAAATAGCATGCAAAACTTTGTTATGGCCATCGTGACACTGATGTTAGTATCCTGGATTCGAGGTTATTCGGCTGTACGTACGTAACATAGGAGAAAAGAGGAAGACGAAAGTTAAGATTATTTGGCTGTGTGTAACATCCTACTGCTAAACTGGAGAGAACAAAAATGTAAGAAAGTCCTTAGACTTAGAACTAAGATTATAAAGTTATGTCCTGTGCACGCCAAGATTGCGCCAAGAAGAAGCGGAGGAAATATTTGGATTATTATCAAGTAAAGAGAGTTTTTTTTCACTTTATTTCTTAGGGATTATTAAATAGTTTTTAAATTGAGGACCTAAAAGCACAAGTACTTGACTTTGTGATAGCTTACAGGAAGATTGTTGAGGCGTTGCAAGCTTACCATGGAAGAAATGACCCACTGGAACACTGTGCAGTTTTTGCCATTCTATAAACCTCTTTTTTTGTCAGTATCGGCGCAGGTTTTGGCGTTGAATGGAAATGATTGTAATTTCTTTGGCAAAATGAATAGAAGATTACATGACTGAAATATAAATTAGTGTATTCTTATGAGCCATATTAGCGGGTGTTTGTGCTGGAGAGCCCATCTGCACAGTTAAGTACATTAACCATAATTCACCCATTAATTCTCCTCAAGTAAACAAAATTGAAATATGCCAATAATGTCATAAATTAAGATTCCAGCCCAGTTTTCCTCGCAGAAAAGTTTCCATTCTCAGGCAACCTACATAATATACATGTGTCATGTATACAAAGCAGATTTTCAGTCGGAAGCAAAATTCCCAGAATGAGCTTATTGTTCGTCCGGCACTGATCTGAGAAATTAAACAGTGCTGTTTGAACTATCACTGCCTTATTATGAATCTACTGAGCTATTGCCCTATCATACTTCCGCTCAACGTCAAAACGTTGCAGCAACTTTACCCGATGTACTATTGTTTTTAGCGACTTATTAAATAATGAGATTGAGATTAGATCAACATTTAGCCGGTTGTTAATGCTTCAAGAGCTCTATGAGTGAAACAGAAAATTAGTGGCAGAAAAAAAATTATTGCATTTTAAAACTGTTATACATACGCTAACAAGTTCTGATCAATACATAAATTGATGTAAAAATTAAATGTATGATAAATCTTTCAAAAACATCGGTTTCAAAGCCAATGCTCTCTTGCTCTGTGGGTTAACTGATTTATGCGTTAGTATATTCAACCTTCTTCAACTGCAAAGAGTTCAAATGAGGCCGCCGTATTCAGTATAAATTAACTTTGCTACTTCTGTTTTCCTATTTCAGGCTTCGGAATTCCGCGGATCTTTAAACGACAAGCTGCTGCAGCCCCAGCCCCGGCTCCAGCCCCTGCACCGGCACCAGCACCAGCACCTGGAGCCCCAGGAGCAGCAGGTAAATGGCTAATTAGCATAATACTAACCTGCTAAACCCCGGG